GCTTTTCGACACTGTTTACCTCACGGTCGTGAAGTTATTCCAACGATATTGCCAAGAATACAATGGAAGCCAAGATTAAAGCTGTTACGTCTTTAACGGTCAACATTTTTCACTGAGCCCGTGCATGGGCTCTATTCCATGCATGGGTTCATGAATACTATGTGCCACTGTCATTGCGCAAAATAAAGGTTCCACACCAAAGCAACTCGCGTTTTCCTTCAATTTAAACATCTTTGGGAGAGATCTCCAATGGCATTTCCAATCAGCAAACTCAAATATTAAAGCCCAAGTTGAGCACACAAATTGAGGTTTAAAATCACGGCCGGTGTTTATAATCGAGCTACTGACAACCAGTGCGATGTATATATATATATATATATATATATATATATATATATATATATATATGATTTGCTGACTAGTGCAAATCACCCATCGAAAATGCTTGATACCAAATGCTCCTACTCGAGCGTTTTGATGCGAGGTCATCACTTATGAATATCACAGGCCTTGAGTTCTCTTTTATTTGACAAAATATTCATTTGAGTGATCTTTGGGCTGCCAGGGTGCTACCGTAAAACTGTTGCATGTCATAGGACAACACGATTCCGACATTGTTTACTTTACAAGTCCGTCCTAAAAATTGAGAGTTAGCCGTTGTCGTGTGTCGCCGTCAACGCCGACTAGCCAGAAGCAAAGGCCCTTCGTAATCTCAACAAACAGTTGTCTAAAACCTGTGCTGTCATGCAAGGGACCGTACCATTCTATTGAGGACCGCACCATTCTAATGAGGCGGGCGTAACCGCCATTGGGCTTCCGTATGTTGGAGGTCCTCCGAAAACCTTCCTTGTGTTCTCTTGCCTTCGGCCATCTCAACGAAACGTTTTGATGTGTGGTTGTAGGAAATGATAAACAAGGTGTTTTTCGGGTGAACCATTGCGTCCTACGTTATCCCCGGTGCCTGAAGCTCACATTCGCTATTGGAAGGGCACTGACCCATGCAGCACCCCCTTCATGTACGGCCTGTTTGTCCGCAGCTCTGCTTTCATCCCTACCGGAGCGTTTGAGGCCGCTCTGCTAGACTCCCTCGTGTCCCAGCCAGCCACCGATCAGCGGCGTTGGCAGGGCCGGCCGGTCGCCGCGAGTCATCGCGCCATCTCACGTCTCAGTCGCGCCGCCACACGCCTCAGTCGCGCAGAAATAGCCGGCAGAAATAGGCCGGCGGACAGGTGGGCCGGTGGCAGGGCGTCCTGCAGCGGCCGGCGGCGATCCGAGAACCGTATCGGGGCCGACGACAACGTCAGCGCGCCGGTGGGTCACCTTCCGCGGGGCTCCAGCGGCCAAACAACCCACCGACCCCGCAGGAGGGAACCAGCGCCTCCGGGTCACCTTCCGCGGGGCTCCAGCGGCCAAACAACCCACCGACTCTGCAAGAGGCAACCAGCGCCTCCGGGTCACCTTCCGCGGGGCTCCAGCGGCCAAACAACCCACCGACCCCGCAGGAGCAACCAGCGCGGAAAAACATACGAATAAAACAAAAGCTTGTTTGTTTTGTAAACACTTGTTAAGTGTCATGCCACCGTGCATGTGTATGACAGCTCCGATGGCCAAAGCTGATTCCGTTTTGATTTTCCAATGTCACTCCCTCATGCCAGCAAGACCTCAACATTTCACTCCCTCATGCTAGCAAGACATTAAGATTTCATTCCCTCATGCTAGCAAGACCTCAACATCTACCGTTGTAATCATGCACACACACACACACACACACACACACACACACATATATATTTATATATATATATATATATATGTATATATATATATATATATATATATATATATATATTGCCTTCTCCATTCCTCTCCCCTTACCTTATGCCTTACTCCTCTGCCCTGGTTTCAAACATGGCAGGCAAGCTTCCCGGCGCGGGCCTCACCCAGCCGCCGGAGGTAGCGGCGAAGAACCCTATTCGGGACGGGACCCGGGATCGAAAGCAGGGAACTTTACAGGCGAAACAGTCATCTTTTTTTCTAAAACACTTCCGAGAAATCGATGACACGTATCGTGTAGCCTGCAACAGTTAACATCGCGACACAGGGTGTGATGGTTTGCATGCGCGTCAGTTTCATGTCTGTAGTACGAGAACAAAAAACAAAAATGCATTAGTTGTAGGTGCATTTGCAGGTGCACACTGTGTCTCGAGTTCTAGTCACTGCCACCAATAAAAAGACAACTCCGACTGATAAACTGTGTGATTTTCCTACAGCCCAACTAGAACCAATCAGTTAACTTTCGCGTAGGTACACATCGATGACCATGTATTTACCATCATTGACAGCACGGACTGTTGCTGGCATACTGTTTTTTTTATTTTGTTTTTGTGTTGTTGAAAATAACATCCGAACGGGCTCCATAAATCATATGGTGCCAAGCGACTATTTATGCGGACTAATTTGACAATGCCGCCACATTGCACTGCTGACGACAGGCAACATTGGAGGAAAGACAATCAGGTGGAGCAACAAAATGACGTGCACATCGAAATCCACATTGTTTTTGCATTCCAGCAATCAGCTTGATCCTCCAGGCCCCCCTCCAAGCAGAAGTGCCTCTTGCAATCACCGTACACTAGTCAAGGCCAGCCTTCACCGTGCTGGCCGCTTTTCGGAGAGGTTTCTGCGCTGTTGGGCGTTGACCAGCGCCCCCCCCCCCCCCCCCCACCTGACATCCGCGCGCTGTCGCCAGACGGCTCTTATCGGGGCGGTCCACTTCCGACCGCACTGCTGACGGGGCGGCATCTGGCGACAGCAGAAATGAACGAGAATTTCACGTGTCGAACGAGATGCACGAGCCGTGACAAGTGACTAGATAAATGGGCGATGAAATAGAGGGGAGGGGAGAGACGGCCGGAGGATGAAAAATGGCCAGCATAGGGAGGAGCGATGGGGGGCGGGCAGGGTGGGAGAGAGCCTGACAAATCAAAATTAATGCCGGGGAGAAAATACGGCAGTCATGGACTTGACTTTATAACCATATACATATATATATATATATATATATATATATATATATATATATATATATATATATATGTATATATACGGTGTGGTGTAAGGTCTAGTCCACACGGCTGCTGGTGTGGTGTAAGGTCTAACCCACACGGCCGCTGGTGTGGTGTAAGGTCTAACCCTCACAGCTGCTGGTGTGGTGTAAGGTCTAGCCCACACGGCTGCTGGTGTCTTGCAAATGGCGTGTCCGGCCGCTCTGCGTGCCGACGGATTCCTGTATGACCAGCTTCCAGGCTACAATACATGCGTGAAAGACGTCAATCTAAACGGCAGGCAGTTTTCAACAATGATTGCGAGATAGGGCGTTCTTGGGTTATTTTTAGTATCTTTACTTGCGCTTTTAAAATTAGCATATCAAGTGAAACACTCTGCATAGAGGCTCAATAAAAAAACAAACCTTGCATCTGGGAACAAATAGCTAGTCATGTTCCGTCATAGCATGATGCGGAGGTACTGTCTCGTTATGTTCTCCTGATGTGATGATGTGTTCTCCACGTCACTGTGAACAGTTTTTATCTATAAAGCGTCAGCCTGCATGCTTTCTTGTGTAATAGATACTCATCAACTTCATGAACTGACCAACCTTAAGCTACCAAATTTGCTTTAAGAATACAATAGATTACAACAGATTAGGTGAAAGAATATGATAGAGGGTGCATTTTGAAGCATTCTCGTCAACTAGATGTTTATGCTTGCCAGAAGTGTGACATGCAGATCCTATTTTTGACCTCCATACACGGCTTTTATATCCCTCCGTAACATGGCATCTCGGCTGCATGCAAGAAAGTAAAGGTGCAATCGTCTGTCGCTACTCTCACCGCCACATGCGATGATTTGTGGCCGTTCGGTTATCACCCACAAACACATGCCTTTTGTAGCCGCCCAGAAATGTCTTTTAGAGGCTTCCTTCCATAGGATGTCATGGCCAATTGGCCTCTTCCTCCGCTGTCCCCGTGCAATCATCCAGGGATGCTCAGCCACAGGTGGTGTGATCGCTCGGAGGTTCTACATCACGGACTCTGTGCACCAGTCCAGGGCCTCCCCGTCATGGGCTCTGTATGATGGTTCAGAGTCCCCTCCACAGATTCTGTGACTGTCCGGAGGCTTTCATCATTCATCTCCGTGTGGCCGTTCATGGGTTTCCTCCATGGTGTCCCTGAGACTGATCAGATGCTCTCCTTCACAAACTCTGAGTGGCCGCTCTCGGTTTCTCGTTCACGAGATTCGCGCAATCGTCTAGAGGCACTTCCCCGCGCGTTCTTGATGGTCACTCAAGGGTCTTCACGGGCTCTTTGCGACTATTCAGAGGTTCTCTGTCACGGCCTCTTTGCGCTATGCTGCAATCTGTTCGCTATTTACTGCTATATAACGTCCCCAACGGGCTCTCTTTGGTTGGTCAGATGTCCTCCGGCACGAACCACGTGTCTCGATTCAGCTGCGGCTGCCCGGTGTCCTCCGACACGAGCCGCGTGTGTCGCTTCAGCTGCGGCTGCCCGGTGTCCTCCGACACGAGCCGCGTGTGTCGCTTCAGCTGCGGCTGCCCGGTATCCTCCGACACGAGCCGCGTGTGTCGCTTCAGCTGCGGCCGCCGGACGTTTTCCGTCGCGGCTGTACCTGTGTTCATCCTTCAGCGCTGTCGGTGGGCGGCTGTGCCAGCGGCGCCGGCTGGCAGCTGACGCTGCCCGGGTGGCCTCTGCTATGCGACCGCCGCTCGGGCCGCACCTGAGTCTCGCTCCAATGGTCACGCGCTGTATTGATGGTGACAAGCGGCGTGCCACGGGCGACACCGTGAAGCGCCGAGACGTCTGGCGCCGCGCCAGAGCGCCAGTATTCCGCAGAACATAAGGCATTCCTCGGTCGGTGAAGAACGCCCTTTCAATGAGGGTCGGCCCGCATACCGGTAATGGCTTTGTTCTTTGGGTGGGCCCGTCAGTTGTGGCTGGGCGGCAGTGGGGGCAGCAGCGGGTCCGGCTCCCTCCACCGCAGACGTAAGCACCGAGGGCGGCCGACTCCATTGCGGAGGTGACAAGCAGGCGAGCAAGGACACGAGGATCCGGCGTGAGGAGCGAGTCTTGCTGGCGGAGCGATGAGGGGTCCAGGACACCACTGCCGAGCCATGGGTGCTTTCGTTTTACATTATGCGTCTCTGAGGAGGGACATTGCTGTTCCAGGAGCCAAGCTAGTGTTATGTGTCAGACTGCACGCTACGACATCGGTTTGAGGGGCCTTCATGCCGGTTTTGTCTTGACGTGACGTGTGAATGTAACAGACTGCGGACTCGGGATGAAGGACGCCACTTGGGCACAGACATCTCACCGGCGTATAGACGTCGGGCTGGTAAACACATCACATGCTATTTCATCAAAGAGCGCACGTTTACGCTTCTTAATTAGCTATATGCGCGGAGAACAGTTTGTCACATTCATTCGACGCATATCAATAGCCTGCAATGTGATTTAATTTCAAGCCACAGGCTATCAGCCTCCACTCGTGACTGGCATCGTAGATGGGGTTTGGTTTCCCTCTGGAGGGGCATAGACCCATTCCCCGAACGTTCAATTAGGCCCCCCGTTGTTTGCAACAAATCGCAAAACAATGGCGAAATGCGAACAACATCAAACCATTTGTGTTTGCATAATAACTGGACTCGGACACTTCACGTCATGTTAGGAATATCGGTCTACGGTGGACACTGTAGTGAGCGGGGCGTGCCTGTGCCTCTGCTTCCGAACGGACTGCGCCGCCCAGCAGCCATCAATCATTAGCCGGTGTGGCTGAGGTTGTTCATCGGAACAGACTGAACGGACCGCGCCGCCCAGCAGCCATCAATCATTAGCCGGTGTGGCTGAGGCTGTTCATCGGAACAGACTGAACGGACCGTGCCGCCCAGCAGCCATCAATCATTAACCGGTGTGGCTGAGGCTGTTCATCGGAACAGACTGAACGGACCGTGCCGCCCAGCAGCCATCAATCATTAGCCGGTGTGGCTGAGGTTGTTCATCGGAACAGACTGAACGGACCGCGCCGCCCAGCAGCCATCAATCATTAGCCGGTGTGGCTGAGGCTGTTCATCGAACATCCATTCGTGTATGACTATGCAAGCCTCTTGACAAAACATGCGACAGAGCAGGAGTTAGCTGCCACCTGCAATGTAAACTATACTGGATACGGTGCAAGGACTGTAGAGATGACCTTTTGTATGCAACAGTGCGGAGTACCACGGTGATAATCGAAGCAATGCAGCTCCTCGGAGCTTCAGGTGTTCTGTTAACCTAACGTTACTTTCAAGTCTTCTTATGCGGTTTTCACACCTGATTATTTTCATTTTGCCTCACTTGTTTCGCATCGGTGTAGTTCTTTGCGATGGTGGAGATGTACCGGGAGGTTTTTTATCAAAGGATTTTTACGCATATGAAATATCATCTGTGAGATAGCGGATAGCAGAATGTCTTACAGTAAATTAAACCACCCTGTGAAATGTCTTCGCCAAAACATGAACATTATCATCTGAAGCTTACCTCATTGCACCTGTTCCCAGGATTCCAGAAAAACAGCAGCCATGCCGTCCACCAAGAAAGGGGTGAGTGCGCGTGCGTGGCCAGCTGTGGCACCATGCCGCGCCTCCTGACGGTGCTTGCGGACCGCGACCGGCCTGACATCGCACTGTCATGAGTAGGTGTGGGGCATATCGCCATATATCTGGCGGTCTTGGCTGGGTCATGATTTTCCAAAATGAGTGGGGAGGCTGATAAATGAAATATCCGATCACTCTCCAAAATACGCCAACAGATAGCTCCTTCACGGCTGTGGCACGTATTCTCCAAAATACCTGGGGACCGGTTAGGGAGGGGAGGGGGGGGGGGGCTTGAGCCTCTCAGTTGAATAAGAAACAACACACCTGGCGTCGTGGGTCATGGTCTTCAAAGATCACGACCATTCTGCTCGCTGCGTCTTTGCTGACCGTCTTCAGAACGACTTCGTCTTGGGGGCGGGCCTCTCGGGGGCGGACCGCCTGAAACGTCAGATTGGCGCAACTCAACGGGAGTGCGAGCCACCTTAGATGGTAGAGTAGATCCATCCTCCGATAGGTAGATCCATCCACCGAGCCACCTTAGAGTAGATCAGATCGGTAGAGATGTCTCGTTTCACCATCAGAACTATGTCTGATGTAACGTTAAGGCGCCCTGGCGTCCTACATCATATACCGATATTGACTCTTCCAGGGATTTCCCCTAGCAAGGTCGTGGAAGAAGTCTCCAAGCACTGGGCCACACTTACCTCGCTGATCAGGCATGGCCCCACTCCCGCTGTGTCAGTGGCGTTCTGGCCCCATTCTGGCCCCGTCCTCGCCACGCCACATGTGACCGAGTTGCATGGTAAAACTTTCTGTCGCCTTTTATCCGAAGCAAGGAACAAAGTGGCACAAATTTGTGAAATAAATCGGAAGCGAGTGACTGCTAGCTGATCTACATCTGGCGCTGGTCATTTTGTCCGGGTTCCCCTCTCATTCCCTCACAACTCCTTAAAAAGATCCGGAGAGGCCATTTAACGACCGATGGCTATTCCATCCAGTGGCACACTCTTTGTTTCGATGATCAAGCGACAATCTGAGAAAGGTCTGCTGTGCTCTTCGGCTGCCAAATAATTCTGTCTGTTTCCGGAGGTCCTTAGGACTAGTTTGTCTATCTAGTTTGTTTGTGATATCATATATGATGTGTGACATGTAATATGATATGCGATATGATATATGATAAACTACCCAGTTTGTCTATCCTGTAGCCCCCGAGGCTTGCTGCTGCCAAGGATCCTTCACATTTGTTTGGCCCCGCTGGTGACGCTGGTGACCGACGCCCAGGTATCGATTTTCGGAAGCGTGGAAATGGATGCGCACTCACCGGTGCCCCATTCTGAGAACATTGAGCAACTTGTGTCTCCTTCCGAGAACATTGGGCCATTTTTGTCCCCTTCTGAGAACATTAAGTCATTTTTGTCCCCTTCCGAGAACAGTGGGCCATTTGTGTCCCTTTCTGAGAACATTGAGCCATTTTTGTCTCTTTCCGGGAACATTGAGCCATTTTTGTCTCTTTCCGAGAACATTGAGCCATTTTTGTCCAGCGCGCTCGATCTTGATGTCTCATTATTGCTCACCGGGCTGAAGCTGGGGCTCATTACACCGATTCAGGGTCTAAATAACAGCGCATCCGACGACCGTGACGGCTGACAGGCTTTGAGCGGTGGGAGGTGTGGGCTGACGCAGGCTCGCTGTAGGTGTCTGGGGCCGACATGCTGCCTCGGCACAAATGCTCTCGGAATGGAGCCAACATGCAGCACCTACAGGAGCGACGTGGCACCATGGCATGGCACATTGGGAGCAGCATTGACGGAACTGTACAGTCATGAGGCTTCAAATATTTTCCAACGCTACTTGGGCCGTCGATCCATTGGCAGCGATCCACGGAGAATCCCTGGCGTCCTGTGTCCGCAAATAATTTAGGTTCGGATGCTTCCCATGAAATTGATTCATTTGCGACAGACACTTCACGCGTCAGCTCACTGGTGGAGACAACGATGGAACATTCTGGACATACCCCGAATGTTTTATTTCTTCTTCTTCTTCTTCTTCTTCTTTTTTGGGGGGTACCCATAATATTCCTTGACCTGCTTTTGGTCCGTATGGTCAGTTATATTTCGGTATGTGCCGAATACGATTATCTCACAGGGACCACTCCGGAGGTTCGTTTCGAACGGACGCCAGCAGGCGGGGAGGGTCTGCGTTGAGGAGGAAAAGGCTGGCGACTTCTGCCGCTTCTTTCAGAAGACAGCCAGAGAGAAACATGCATCTAAGTAACACTGGAGATCAAACATTAGTTATAGTATTGAAATCGGCTTCGCGTTACGTTCGTTCTTACAGCAATAAGAAGGGTCTCGTGTAGGGAGGTCCACCCGACAGCAAAGTAGAGTAAAACAATTTGGCATAGACAATCAGCACGCATATATTTTTTAACGCGTGGCGTTCGATCAGCTGTAGTGCTGCTCACGCATGCTCACAGATCATCGCAAGAGGCAGTGGCCTAAGTCAACATCGTCAGTGCCGTCCTTCTCTGAAATTGATTTTGCATGCCTTATTTGCACGTTAAATATCTCCATCAAGCTTCGAGAAAAAAACATGACTCTTGAGGTATATGATGCGACATTTGCGCAGTACAGCTTGACCCCTCCCCCTTCCCGCTCATTTCTAAACCACATGGCTAGCTTTGTCAGTGACATGCCTAATGTCAGGCTGTGTTTCCTTCTTTATGGCGACCTAGTCTCTCTAAAAGAACTTATCCAAATGCTATGATTACAGCCTAAACCCCAGATACAGGCACTGTCAATTTATTGATGGCATGGAACCTATGCAGTCTTTTTTGTATATACCTATACGTATATATATATATATATATATATATATATATATATATATATATATATATATATATATATATATATATGTATGTATATAACTTTTCACCATGTTATTTTTATGATTTCGGGGGGGAAATGCGCGCACCAATCACGCCTACCAAGTTTAATTTGATAAAAGCTAGACAGACCTTGTGCCTCTGGTTTTTCGGAATTATCAGTAGCGAGTTTCATTCTGACAATAATCTGCCATCATTACACCTGGTTAAACGATGTTATTAATAGAGCATTACCCACCTTGACAAAATTCGACGCATCAAGACGTGGTTTTGGCCACGGGTACTAAGTAATGTACTCGGTCGCGAGTACATGGTCACGAGTGGTCGGTAATGTACTCGGTCGCGAGTACACGGTCATGAGTGGTCAGTAATGTACTCGGTCGCGAGTACATGGTCACGAGTGGTCGGTAATGTACTCGGTCGCGAGTGCATGGTCACGAGTGGTCAGTAATGTACTCGGTCGCGAGTACATGGTCACGAGTGGTCGGTGATGTACTCGGTCGCGAGTACATGGTCACGAGTGGTCGGTAATGTACTCGGTCGCGAGTACATGGTCACGAGTGGTCGGTAATGTACTCGGTCGCGAGCACATGGTCACGAGTGGTCGGTAATGTACTCGGTCGCGAGTACATGGTCACGAGTGGTCGGTAATGTACTCGGTCGCGAGTACATGGTCGCAAATGCTCGGTCACAGTCACTCTGCCCCGAGCACATGGCTACCATGATTCATGACAATGTGCCTGAAACGTTGAATTTTGTGAATACACCTAATGTGGAGCGTGCGCATGAGCTCCCAGTGCCAATGCGGAGAAGAGGTTACAAAAAATCATGTTGAAAACCGATAATAGCGCGCCGCAGCTGCGCGACATTTTGGGCGTGTCGTAAAGCGACATTACGTGTCCTCAGTCTTCTTAATCGTGCGCGTCTGGCGGGAAGTTGCGACTGTCAACATATTAACCCACGTGGATATTTACACATGACATAACTTTGCTAAAGGGGCGAACACGTGCCCCGGGAGGGAGGGGGGGGGGCTGTTTTGTGCGTGCGCCCTGCCTGCTTGCTTATGTCGTATGACAGCACCTACTGGTATATGGAAGGGGGATCTTGGTCAGAATAAGATTTTCCAGCTCGTGACGCTGAATTGGACCTCTCGGATAAGCTTCGACTGATCACGTGTGGCGTTGTGTCGAGTCAGACATACAGGGAACGAAAAATACAAACCGGCTTGATGCTCCCAGTCTCCACCGGGCCGGCCCAGCCGTCACATAGGCGTCCCGCTGATGGCCAAAGTGTCACTTACCATTTGTCTGAGCAGCATCCGGTGGCTCCTGTTGCGACTTGCTGCAGTCTCAACACGTCCTCGGTGGCTGGATCGCCAACAGCCGTCACTTCTCAGTGGTGAGGCGGCTGGCGAAATGTATCTGGCGCCAGTGCTCGACGGACGGCCATGGGAAAACTGTCCTTGAGACAGTTAAACGCACATTGTGCTCTTAATTTTGTGCGTCCACCGCTGCCTGCTCACGTCCTCTGGCCTGGGCGGCACCCGAGGCCGGCCGGGGACGGAGCTTCAGCCCACAGGCGTCACACTGACGGCCGGCCGGCCGGTTGTGATCGATACTGCACAATGCTCTGCCATTATGATGGAGCCGGCGCCAGCGATGTGAGGCACTCGAGGGTCGCCTGGCACGCGCCTCGCCACGCCCACCAGCACATCTGTCTGGCGAGCCGGGCTAGAGTCGCGCACGGCGCCACTCACTAAAGCCATGCCACTGCTGTAAGGCATGCTCTATTCCTTAGGGCAGCTAGAGTCGCGCACGGCGCCACCCACTGAAGCCATGCCACTGCTTTAACGCATGCTCTATTCCTTAGGGCAGCTAGAGTCGCGCACGGCGCCACTCACTGAAGCCATGCCACTGCTTTAACGCATGCTCTCTTCCTTAAAGCAAATAGAGTCGCGCACGGCTCCACTCACTACAGCCCTGCTTTTGCTGTAAAGCATGCTCTCTTCCTTAGGGCAGGAGGTTTTTTGGCTTGCTGTCCGGTTTGAATGTGCAATATTATTCCTATTCAAAACCAAAGTACATTTTTGTTTGTGAGAGCAGGCAATTACTTCATGGCTTTCTTGACAGTTTTAATCGTTGATGCTATGACGTTGCAGGTCCCCGATGTGACTGGGGATACCAGTCCTGTGTGGTCGGATTTACTGCAAGCTGCAAACACTGTGCGCTACGATTCCAAGTGGCGAGGGCTATATTGATCATTGCCGCTATGGTTATGAATTTTGGGGGCAAAATATTGCACCGTAGCCTACGCCGGTGCCTACCTCACTGCATTGACTCAACGCAGAAAGGTGTGATCCAGGACAAGCGCAGTGAGCAGCTCGTAAAAGCCGTTTCTTTCGGCGGCAATGTCCGTATACGAGCATGTGGGGTGTCTCATTAAGATCAGCCCTAAATTTAGGACTCAGTGCCAAACAAGCCAAATTTGAATATACGCGACGATTGTGCACCAGACCTGTGACAATACTTCTGTCTTCATTTCTAGTCCAAGAAGTCCTCGAAGAAGGCGGGAAGCAGCGTCTTCTCCTCGTTTACTCAGCAGCAAGTGTCAGAGTTCAAGGAGGGTTTCGCCATCATGGATGCCGACCGCGACGGCATCCTCAACAAAGCAGACATCAGAAACTCATTTGACATCATCGGCAAGATCATCTCAGAAAAGGAACTGGACGAGATGCTTAACGATGCTCCTGGTCCCATCAGCTTCACCATGTTCGTCAACATGTTTGCCGAGCGGCAGTCAGGGCCCACTGACGAAGACGAGGTCATCATTAAGGCTTTCAAGGCCTTCGACAGGGGCGACGGTAAGATAGATTCAGAGCAGTTCCGCGGCCAGCTCATGTCCTTTGGCGACAAGATGAAAGGGAAGGAGGTCGACGACGTCATGGCGGAGATGGAGTTCGACGAGGAGAATAACATCGAGCTGGACCCGCTGATTGAGATGATAGTCGGCAAGACGGAGGAAGAGAACGCCGAGGGACAGGGCGAGGCGCCCGCCGAGTAGACCCGGTACGTCGGCCCCTCACTCGGCACCCGGATCGTCAACCCTTCACCCGGTATGTCAGTCCTTTACCCCCGGTACGTCGGCCCTTCACCCGGTACGTCAATCCTTCACCCGGTGCCAGTCCTTTACCCCCGATACATAGGCCCTTCACCCGGTATGTCAGTCCTTCACCCGGTACGTCAGTCTTTCACCCGGTATGCCAGTCCCTCACCTGGTACGTCAGTCCCTCACCCGGTGTGTTAGTCCCTCACCCGGTATGTCAGTCCTTCACCCGGTACGTCAGTCCTTCACCCGGTGCGTCAGTCCTTCACTCGGTATGCCAATCCTTCACCCGGTACGTCAGTCCTTCACCCGATACGACAGCCTTTCACCCGGTATGCCAGTCCCTCACCTGGTACGTCAGTCCTTCACCCGGTGTGTTAGTCCCTCACCCGGTATGTCAGTCCTTCACCCGGTACGTCGGCCCTCCATCCGGTAGTTCTGCCCATCACCCGGTACGTCAGTCCTTCACCCGGTATGTCAGTCCTTTACTCGGTATGTCAGTCCTTCATCCGGCACGTCGGACCTGCACCTGACGCGTCCGTCTCTTTCGGTATGTCTGTCTCACGCGTCCAGTCATCTCATCCGCTACTCATGTGTGACCCGTAAACCTGACTATTCAAGCCGCATACCTAACTGGGCACGCGAATGGCCGGCTGGCGCGCTCAGCAGGCCTGTGACCTATGGCTGGCGCGCTCAGCAGGCCTGTGACCTATGGCTGGCGCGCTCAGCAGGCCTGTGACCTATGGCTGGCGCGCTCAGCAGACTTGTGACCTTCTATGGCTGGCGCGCTCAGCAGGCCTATGACCTTCTATGCGCTGCGCGATGCGTTGGCCCGAGTATTACGTGTCCACGTGACTCTTGGCCGTGTTGCGCTGACCACCTCGGCCCTTTGAAGACTAAAGTGAATCGCGTTCCATCCCACGTACAGTGGTCTTGACCTAGGCTGACTGGTTACAGGATCGTCACCGTGACCTTTCATCTTTCCAAGCAACCCACTGACCCGAACACAGCTGTTCCGGGACCTGGGACTCGACTGGGTCGAATAGTGGCGCCGCGGCGCGGGAACCGCGGGAACCAGGTGCTCGGGCGCCCGCGGGCCCTGCCGCCGCCGCGCCCCGTCCCCTGCCTTTGGCCCGCGCGCGGCGCGAACACAAGTTCCGTGCGCCGCGAAGGGGGCGCGCGTCTCTCATCCCTGTGCCGGCGCCCGCTGGCGTCTCTGCTGGTCCGAGCGACAGTCGTGATGTCTCGCGGCGCTCCAATAAACTCCGGGCCGACCTGAGCGCGTCTTGTCCTCGGCCCGCGGCGCACCGGCTCTGCGACCGGCCCGCCGGCAGCACGGCGCCGGGCCGGCCGCATGCCTGGCAGCGGCGTCGCAGATAGCGCCACGGGGACGCGACGGCCCGGTCGGCGCGCGCAAAAATAGCGCGCGCCCGCCGACCCAGGACGGGGACGATGAGGACAGGCCTGTTGCGCGAGACCGGCCGCCCTGACGGGTTTCAAGCGCGCCGGCGGACGAGGGGAGGCCGGCTCGGCTCTCCGCGCCTCCGCCGGGCGCCAGTCTGCCCTGAGCTGGGGTAGCGGGCGGACGGCCACCGGTACCGGACGACCGTGAAGGTAGCGGACGTGACCGCTCGGCTGTCCTGCTGGTGGTCACACAAGCTCCAGCCTCACAAGGCCACCTAAACGCCTGTGCCCAAAAACGTGGTGCAGGGATAGCTAAACGCAGCTTCAGCCGGAGAACTTGACTTTTCATGATTGTATGAAATTTGTATGAAAATCACGTCCGTAACAACTTTTCTCGGTTCACTTCGTGCTGAAATTATGTCAATGTTCACATGACGTCACCCGAGCAGATATCAACACACGCTATCCAAATTAGGCGCCCAACATCCCATAGGATCAGATGATAATGGAAACGTTCAACTAGACAAAATAAAACAGCGGTGTCTGGGAACTCGCAGTAACAAAAACTATAAGTTTGGTAAAACGGCGCTGCGGCGGAACGAGCAGTTACCAAGTACGCATTGCCGAAGAGATCAACACTCAGATAACTATCCGTGACACAAAAACAGCGCTGGCCTCCCATAAACCAGGGCCAACAAAGAGGTTCGCCGACGGCTTCCGTAGCTCAAGCAATCAGGCACACGGCAACACAATCCGCATTGCAATCGGGAAGAACGTTCAGCCACCGCATCTTGGAAACTGATATGAAGCGTTCTGCCCCACGACCTGCACGTTGCTGGCCCCAGTGGATGTAACAAACATGGCACATGCGTATCGCATGGCACATAACGACTGTGTAGAACATATATACATATAGCTCGCTTCATAAAAAAAATATTTTAAGCGTTAACAACTAATAATGATTGGAACATTTTTACCACAGTGTTAAGTAGCTGAAACACTCCAGTAAAAAAGATCGCGTAGAGATATTACGCCGGTCGGTTCGGTCAGTTCTGTCTGGCGTACAGCCTCGAAAACGACCTGTTTGTATGTTTCGCGAATGTAACGCTGTTAACAGAACAATGACCTACAAATTGTTCTCATTCGTACTCCCTGCTTTCCGTCCCACGAAACGCGCACCCATGCACAACAGCCTGGCCCAGCGTGCTAGGCTGCGCATCTGACTGCGCGGAGACATAACAGGCATGACAGCATAACCTTAACATCGTATCGCACTGTAGCAGACCACAGGAGCAAGACGCTCTGGCGGCGGGTGCCGCGTCACAACATTCGTCACCCCAGCACAGTACGGGGACGAGCGAGACCTGTGGCCGCGGCAAGCCTTCGCGTAGAACCGGATAAAAGCGATCATCAATTCGCGAAAGCGTCAAAACACACTTCCGCGTACAACTGCATACTTACTGGCCCCCATGATAGTGGCCGAAGGTTACATTTGCGCGCATAAATAGCGTTGCAGCACGTTCCTGTACTGGTCTTGGACCACATCTCCGTAGTGGAGGTGGTCGCGGCAATTCCAGAGAGGCGATTCCTTTGGCTGCCGGCGCCACGCCTCGTCCAGCCGACACCTCACGATGTAGTTGGCGACAGGTGGCAGCACCGACGACCACAGGCGCACGGAGGGCGCCACCTGCTCCCTGCGGCAGGGCACAAGGGACATAAGTGGTGGTGGTGACCGACTGGTGGAAATCGAACCCCACGTCGCCAGCCATGGACAAAGTGCACACTGGGACACATTAAGGTAACTCCTGTTCTTAACACGGAACACGCAGCTGTGCACAAAGCGCACGCAAGTGCATGCACTGACCGCTTTTCACACCTAAGTCCCGTGCCCCGACCACTTCCAGCTCGAGCCGACATCACGTGCACCGCCGCCGTCGTGACCGTTGCGCCAGGTCAGACGAACGCCGGAGGCGGACCGGCCCCAGCCGGCCCTGTTCGCCACTGGGCCGCTCGGCCGGCCGGCCGGCGACACTCACAGCCGGTCGGTGATGAGCGCGTTGTAAATGAGGTGGGCGAAGTTGACGGAAGAGGCGATGTCCATCATGTGCTCGTAGTTCTCCGGCTCGCTGAGCTTCCAGAAGACGCGCACGCCCACGGCCGCCAGCTGCTGCAGCACGGCCGCCGCCTGGTGGCCACAGCACGGATGTCACACGGCCGGCAGCGGCCGATGCCGGCGATCCAGCCTGCTCCTCCGGCACACCCACAGCCACGCGTGTCAGGAGCCCGCCAAGAACAGCTGCGGATGCCAGTGATGTTGTTCAGAACATAACGATTTCGAAAGCACATTGCCTGCCTTGAAAAACAGTAATGAAAACAACAGATGGCGTGACAGAGCAGCCAGGCATTGCGTTACAAAGACCAGCCAGAGCAGCCCCCTTCTGTGGCTGAGCGCCGCCGCATACCCGCTCGATGCCGGCCACCTCGGCCAGCAGGCAGGCGTCGAACGACGGCTGGGGTGTGGTGAGCACGTGCGTGCCCAGGCTGAGCACCAGCACGTGGGGACAGGAGGCCGGTCGGGCCCGGCACTCCGTCAGCATCGTCCGCAGCACGTCCAGCAGCGCATCGTCCGCCAGCCGACTCCAGAAGAAGCGCTGCCGGACACGCACGGCCGGCGGTCAGGAGGCCGGTGGCGGGGCGACAGCAGCGCTGATCAGCCAAGGCCGAAGCTGGCGCCGCTGCTCACACTCAGGACAGGTCAAACGCGCAGGGACCATAGCGCGGCACAGCTGTGACAGCGGTCATACACCAAGTCCGTAACACGGTTAATTTTTCAACCCACTTGCGTCACACACAGGACATTTTAGCATCATGTCTTGCTTCGTTTGTGAAGTACGACACCATCCCGGAGGTCTACTTTACACTGCCCGACATTTTGCTTTCTTCTCTGTGCTGCTTTGCAGATTGAGAGTGACACCAGAAAACACCAGCGTTCGGTCAGCACGTGCATGACGCTGCAGAAGGCATGTAAGGTTCACAAAAAGCTTTCCAATGCGTAAAACGATAACGCCTTTTCCAAGTCAAAGGTGCCAAGCGCGGGGAACTTTGCACGCTCTGGGAGACAGCGCAGGCTGACCTCGTCCACATCACGCCAGTAAAGGCTTTGATAATGTGAGACCGCGGGGTGAGACGTTCGACCCGTCGGTGGCTCAAAATCTCGGCGTGACAGACCAAACAGCCGATCGCATACGTCATGACGCCCAAACATTCCCACAATTACCTCAATGCGGATGCCAAAACGGCTAGCGCATGAGCACCAGGAGAAGAGGCTCCATTTGGCGCGGCAAGGCCTACAAAGTTACCAACAAGAGGGAGATCAATTTGTTGAATGAATTGCTGTCGTAGACGCGCTGATTTGCGCTGTTAAATCCAGAGACTAAGTGGCCGTCGATGCGGCGGAAGCACGTAGCCACACCATCTCACTAAACGGTCACGTGGCGGCACCCTGCGAACAACAGTACTCACGCCATACCTTGGAACCACACGAGGGACGTGACATTAGCTCTCCCAGCTGGCCCAGATCCCGCTGCCACAGGCCAGTCGTGCGTAACCACCCCGAGCAAGCATCTCCAGGCGGCCATCACCAAAAACCGTCCAAGGAAGACGGGCGGCCGAATCATCACCGCGACAATGCTCCACCCCATCACGCCGCTGTTGGGACGGAGTGTAGCTGACGACGGCATCGAGCTGGTGAAGCGCCCACGGTACTGCCCGCGCCTCGGCCCGCGTTGCCCCTGGTTCTTCACTCGAATAATGTACCACTGTTGCGGCCACTGCGACGTTGACGCGTGGTCCGCACTGGGGTCGGCAGTATTTCGGTATGACGCATCTCCCCCCCCCCCCCCCCCCAACAGTCTCGGTGAAGCCATGGAACATCTCGTACACTTCCGCGAGCGCCGCACTAAAAAGGAAAAACGTTGGTAAATGGGCTATCCTATGGATGACAAGTATATGCCAACCAATGGCCAGTCAGTCGCTAGCGGAACTTACTGTTGAAATGCACTGGCATTTGCACCAGATTTCCGATCGAAAGTACGGTAACGGCATCACTAGAATGAAGAGCTCTGGAGCCCTGCAAGAGTACTTTAGACTATCGTATGGGCACAAACGACCACACTGAACACCAGGGGTGACGTCGACGGGACCAGAGCTGGTAAACGTTGCCCTCGATGGCACGTGACACACGGAGACGCCCGGGAGTCCTTAGTCTCGGCCGAGCCATCCGGCACGCGCGGCCAGTCCACGTCTCCCACCAGCACGCACCAGGTCAACGAGAGGCGAGCTGGCGCGGTAGTGGCACCAGTCGGTGCGGTTCTTGTACACGAAGTGTGTGAGGCAGTCGGTGCCGTTGCGTGTGTGGGCGGGCAGCCGCCAGCGCCGGCGCAGGTGGCTGTAGAGGCCGCGGCTGCGCGAGTCGCCCACCAGCGCCAGGTGCAGCCGGCGCCCGAGCGCGCGCCCCAGCCGCACCAGGCAGGCGGCCGTCTCCGGCGCCGAGGCGTTGTGAGGGAAGTCGCCGAGCGCGCCGGCCGGCCAGGCGGCCGCCGGCCGCTCCAGCTGACAGTGGCCCGTCATGGTGAGGGCCGTCGGCGGCGGCGGCCGAGACAGCTCGACCGGACCTGCCGGCAGGGTCACCACTCAGGCTCCCGCTGGTGACAGCAGGGTCATCACTCATGCTCCGGGTGGTGACGGCAGGGTCACCACTCAGGCTCCCGCTGGTGACAGCAGGGTCATCACTCAGGCGCCCGGTGGTGACGGCAGGGTCACCACTCAGGCTCCGGGTGGTGACGGCAGGATCACCACTCAGGCGCCCGGTGGTGACGGCAGGGTTACCACTAAGGCTCCGGGTGGTGACGGCAGGGTTACCACTGAGGCTCCCGGTGGTGACGGCAGGGTCACCACTGAGGCTCCCGGTGGTGACGGCAGGGTCACCACTGAGGCTCCCGGTGGTGACGGCAGGGTCACCACTCAGGCTCCGGGTGGTGACGGCAGGATCACCACTCAGGCTCCCGCTGGTGACAGCAGGGTCATCACTCAGGCTCCGGGTGGTGACGGCAGGGTCACCACTCAGGCTCCCGCTGGTGACAGCAGGGTCATCACTCAGGCGCCCGGTGGTGACGGCAGGGTCACCACTCAGGCTTCCGGGTGGTGACGGCAGGATCACCACTCAGGCGCTCGGTGGTGACGGCAGGGTTACCACTAAGGCTCCCGGTGGTGACGGCAGGGTCACCACTGAGGCTCCCGGTGGTGACGGCAGGGTCACCACTGAGGCTCCCGGTGGTGACGGCAGGGTCACCACTGAGGCTACCGGTGGTGACAGCAGTGTCATCACTCAGGCTCCCGCTGGTGACTGCAGGTCACCACGGAAGCTCCCGGTGGTGACGGCAGGGTCATCTCTGAGGCTCCCGGTGGTGACGGCAGGGTCACCACAGAGGCTCCCGGTGGTGACGGCAGGGTTACCACTAAGGCTCCCGGTGGTGACGGCGTGCGGCTCGACCCACTGCCAGTCGGTGACAGACGGTGAAACTCGGCCACTGAGAACTTTGACCGTTTTTGTTTGTAAAAATGCGCTTTGGCTCAATGAGTGTGAACAAACAAGATGTTTATACAGTCTCAGCATGACAATAGGCAAGCAAACATGACGGCCTACAAGCATTCCATGTATTGGACACCTGCAACAAATGCAGGCACAATCACCCACAGGTAGAGTTGAACTCACTTGATGGTAGTCCAGCATGTTGAGAGTTTGATGCATAGTGCTCACTTTGGCTTGATACCATAGCATGCAAGAATAAACTATGACTCAACAGCACTCCTACCATTGATGATGATATAACTACCGACAAAAGCCACACAAAGAGCCTCTTCCACTTTTTGGTGGCACACAGATAAGGCTGCAGGGGTTCTTTTGTAAACTGGACCTTCATGACTTGCGGATATCTGCCGGACACAACACACTGCAGTGGGAAGAGCAAATCTGCTCACACAAGTTTGCACAGCCTGCACTGGCATGGTTTAACACTCTGCTTCATTTGAACATTTCCTTTGAACAAAACATTTCTGAACCTTTATTTCCAAACAGAACCATTTTGTCAAAATTATTGTCCACACAGATACTTCATGTTAGTTGCAAATATGTGAAGCACCACACAGTTGAGCGCCATACATGTATAAGACGAGCTCAGCTTGCAAATGACCTTCCAACAGTTAACTTCACGGTAATTTTGTCCCACCCCTGACTGATGTTCCTAATTCAGTAGTTTCATTTTCAGCAACTTAAATGGATGCAATGATTCACCAGCTATTTGTGGAAGGCTATAAGCCGTAATTAGTTCATGTCAGGTGCGGAGAAGCTTGCTACCCCCTGTCTTGGGTCTCCGAAATAGTAGCAAAAAGAACAGAGTACAAGGGGCGCATTGTGCTTGGAGAATAACACCATTAAATTTGATACACAAAGACAATGATGATCAAAACTAAATATCAAACAAATCATGGGCAGTCAGACATATTGGTCACCAATTTTGTGTAAATGTCAGAAATACCAGGAGCACCTCCACCTAACTTGGTACCTGCACAAATAAAAGACAAAGGAACAGTATTTTTCACAATCATCTTTAGAGAGCTCGATCACTTCACAGTGGTGCAGCCACGTTCCCGTCGTCAGTCAAAGGGCGTCCGCACAGTAAGAGTGGCTTATGGCTCTCTACGACGTTCGACCTGAACTTAACATGCTGGCAGGTTCCAGCAGCCACAGGGGACCGTCGGGAGCCACGTGCACCGCCAGGAATAACAAATGAGGAGCTTCGCGTTATGCGGTTGGGGCAGAGAACACGCCGGGCTGATTCTTCCACGGCACCGATGTGCTCAGCGGACCACCACCTCACGGAGTGGCAGCGTGCCAGGATGAGGGCCAGACACTGGCAGAATGGCAGTGTACTGGGATGAAGGGTCAGACACTGGCAGAGTGGCGGTGTATGGGGATGAGGGGCCAGACACTGGCAGAGTGGTAGTGTATGGGGATGAGGGGCCAGACACTGGCAGAGTGGCAGTGTACTGGGATGAGGGGCCAAACACTGTCGGAGTGGCAGTGTATGGGAATGAGGGGCCAGACACTGGTGGAGTGGCAGTGTTTGGGGATGAGGGGCCAGACACTGGCAGAGTGGCAGTGCACTGGGATGAGGGGCCAGATGCTGGAGGAACACTTATCGCTACCACAGACTGTGTTCCAGAGAAGGCACCCAGAAGAGGAAGGACTCTAGGCTGGTCTCACATCGGTGTCCAATACCATTTCGGGCAGATTTGCCCAGCTCCAGTATCAGTCTTGGGACTGCAGCTGGATCCCCACAAGGTGGGAGCGATCAGGCAAGCATCTGTTGGTTCTGCAACGACTCACTTCTTGGTTTCTTCGACACAAGCATGAAAATTGCGGTAATTTCGGTGCGGGCAGGACTTACTACCCAACTACTGAACTACTAACTACTGCCGCGCTGTTCGGTTGTCGCCAGTACAAATCAACGGCAGTGACGTCTGGGTCAGCAGCCCTGTGGCAACTTATCATCATCGCCTGATGGAATACCCTCGCCCAACGCCGATGGGTCGGAGAAGTCGGCACGGCCTTGTGGCCTTGAGCTTGATGACAAAGAGCACTGAGTTTGCAACAATTCCCAACAAGACAAACTGGATGCATGGCACTCGATAAGCTTGCACACTGTCATGGACTTTCAGAATCACTTTGGGGAGTCGCTTCAGATGGACGGGCCTATGGAATTCAACAATGGTGCCGTGGCAGTGTTCACAAGGTCACTGGGTATCATGTAAAGCTTAAGAGTGTCATCCATCTATAGTTGAGCAGGCATTCAGCAGCCAACTCAAGCCTGGGTACCACTCATAGGTGGCACAGCCAGACAAGCATTCTTCAGACCAAGCTACCACCATGCAGCTTGAAGGGCCCGATACTGGCAGAGCTTCTGACTTCAAAGCATACCAGGCTGGCTCCTCACTTCAAAGCCATATCCAAAGTCAAGTCAGTAACTGACTTGACCAACTGTTGCTTAAAATAAGCCCAAGTTGAAGCCAAAACTGCTGGTTTTGGAGGTCAGAACTGCAAAGCTGAATCCAAAGGCAGTGGCCCTGAACATGAACACATGAACTTGAGCTCTGCTCTGCTCTGAACAGCCCCGAACTTAAGAAATGTCAAACCAGAAACAAACTCATCCATCTGTAATCAAACATCATAAACATCATACCACTTTCCTAGTGTGATTAAAGGGTTAAGATACAGGATGAAATATTTTGAAATACCATCCTTGCCATGTCTTTGTGCAAATGCAATATTTCAGACAGTAATGCCTCTGGCCATTGCCATGTTAATTGGCTTTGAGAACAGATGACTGGTTTCAGCTTTCAGCCATACATGTTTTGCACCCTTTAACAGTTGTGTGATATACTGAGGTGGCAGAACAGAAAATACCACTTTTTTATGAGTAAAGTTGCAATTATGATGAAATAATTATCATGAAAAAGCCATAGGTAAAAACCTCACATTCAAAGTTTGCAAAGGTGTAAATACTGCATGTAGCACAAGCCCTGATCCTAGAAATCCATCTGTTCAAAAGGTTCAGATGAAATATTTTTAGAAATATGGGTCAGATGAGACCAACCAGCAAAGATAACACAATCATAAATGGTGCCTGTCACAATACCAACCACTTGCCCCTCCAAAAAATACAGTAAGTGTAAAGGGAATCATGCTAGGGAATGAAGAAGTTTAAACTGAAGGGGGAATTTGATACAAGTGGGAATAGTCCAATTATATCTCTGCTTAGGGCTGAGAAGAGGAGGGACCCTAGTCTGGAGAGAGATACAGTGTGGCAGGCGTGGTAAAAAAGATTGGTTTCTCTGCGCTGAACATACAGCTATGCAGCGGTTCGATCCTTACCACGCAGCCTAGCAAGAAAGTACTAAACAGCAAATGAAGTCTATCTACCTCAGCTGTGTGAGCAGATCACAAAAGATGGGAAGGGACACAAAATACTGGTGATGAATAGCTGGACGCCACCAACAGCTTGGCTTGAATGCAATGCGACCTTACTCATTTACCGACATAAATCCAGTGACACCATGTAGAGTCAGCGAGATGATTGCAATCCGGCGCTATAATTCATTCGGCTCATCTGTACCTTGTTACCTACAATGGTGCACAATATTTGGGGCCGGACCGCCGATTTGACCAGCAGACATAGCGTCGCCTTTGAAGCCAGATAGAGATATAGATAGAGATATATTTTTAGAGAGTCGTCAAACTTCGGAATATTTTTCTGATGCCTGTTTCTATCGATGAAATATCTTTTAAAAATTAACTATATACTCAATTCTGCATCAGTAGCCTTAAACTTGAAAATTGTAGTGTAAAGTTTTTAACGACGTCATAAAAGATGAGCCAATCACAACTTTACTACAAAAACATACCCTGCCGATGTTTTTCGGAAACATCCTATCGTATTTTTCGGTACCTTGTGTGCAGTTTGCGTTAGTGGGTGGTGTTGGGTGCGTGTGTGGTGCGACCTCGATGGTGTGGTTGTCCGGGATGTAACTAGGAGGATGTGCCGAGGCATTATTGATACAAATTAGATTATGAGAGTGATATCGCTATCAATAAGAATCACTTGGGAGTAGTGTCGTCCGGGGTAAGTGCCAATTCTGGTGTATTTCGGCATTGTCATACTGGCGGACCAGGATCTGAATCCGTTCTCGTGGTTTGTGACTGCGGAAGACACGTAGTATTTAGTTCTCATGGAACGAATGGGGCGTTTTGAATTTAAGTTGGCTTTTTGCTGTTTTCAAACTACGTTTTTCCCCATCGATGTCAACACAAATATCGAGGACCAAAATGCTGCCTTAATAACAATACCACCAGACCAGCCTACAAAAAACACATGCTACGCCAAGCACTAAACATGGCTGACATAGCTTATTACATTGCAGGAACAATTTTGGTGCATGTATTCTAAAGGGAGGTGTCCTGTGTTTAGCAGACATCCAATGGACACTGCTAATTTAACTGATTAAAGGCAAATAAAATGCTCCAGGAATGTGTATGTATAAATAGTAATTCCAGATAAAATTATCCCTTAAAATATTTTGCAAACAAAGACAGTTGGAACTGAGAGATCTGGTCAGTAAATGGATATTCTCTCAATTGGCCACCATGTGGTGGCCACATTTCTTTCAGTCATTGGTAAAAATACAGCTTTGCAGAACTGTGATAGCATAAACTCTAGCTGATGCAACTGTACCAAAGAAGTGAAGGATTAAAACTTTCTTTACAATTAACCTCGTGTGTTTTTCTCATGGTAGGTCTGGTGCCAGTTAATTGCTTACCAAAATTGCCATGCTACCATGTTTTTAGATGTTTCTGCTATGATGCTGCTGCAGCTATTCAAGTGGAATGAAAAAATCCTATAAGTTCATCATTGCATGTACCTTGAGCTATGTTCCTCATTGTTTCCAAGTTATTTTGATGACAAGGCTATGTGCAGGTCAGGTACATATGACACTGATAAACACCACAAGCTGTTTTCTATACTCAGTTTTTTAGTAGCCTTTTTCCCTTTATGAAAATAATTAGAATGTTTTAGATGCATTTTAGCATTTTAATAATACAGTGATTTATAAATTGCTGGTTGTCCCTTGTGTATCATTGTACTTTGAAAGCTTTCAGCTTATATTTCAACAGTTACTTACTGCCCCTGGCCTTTTACTAGCTGGCACACGTGTCAGTATGGGAATGAGCTGGTCAGGTCTATTGAATATTTACTTTAGAAATGGGTTTGGAGATAAAAGATGACCAGAATATTTAAGCAGTGTCAGGTATTTTTTATCCTGAGAAAGCACATTAAGATATAAACAACTTGACTGAGTGAAACTTGACTGTGGTCTATATATATATATATATATATATATATATATATATATATATATATATTATAGAAAATAAAGAAGAGTAGATAGTCTATGAAAGCAGCCATGCTAACAGCAAATATAGCTGATCACTGAAACATGCCCACCAAATGCACTGGCAGCTAAACATTTGATTATTTTCATCAAACAATTAGATGCAGTATGTGCTTGCATACAACACACTGGCAAGCAGTTAGTTTACTATCTCAGATTTTACTCATCAGTGGCCATGCCTGATAGAAAGCACAGGGTGTGTTACAACCATGCTGCATTTGTGAGGTGCTGGCTACAGCAGTTTTCCAGACTGGGGTCCCGTGCTGTTCCACATGTTCAGTGACACAGTGGTGAAATTCTGCAAGATCATGCCTGGGAATCATAAACAGTTTCTTCTGTGTGTGTGTGTGTGTGTGTGTGTGTGTGTGTGTGTGTGTGTGTGTGTGTGTGTGTGTGTGTGTGTGTGTGTGTGTGTGTGTGTGTGTGTGTGTGTGTGTGTGTGCGTGTGCGTGTGCGTGTGCGTGTGCGTGTGCGTGTGTGCGTGTGTGCGTGTGTGCGCGTGCGTGCGTGCGTGCGTGTGTGTGTGTGTGTGTGTGTGTGTGTGTGTGTGTGTGTGTGTGTGTGTGTGTGTGTGTGGAAACATCTGCTTTATTGTGAGTTGCTGAGAAAGGATAAGTGTACATTCACACTATTGTTCAGTCATATGTTTTGTGTGTTTTCAGACCTTAGGTGAAGTAGTGGAAGATCTTCAAATCGCAGTTGGTCAGAAGGTGAAATCCAATAAGTGTATGATGGCAGAACAGCTTCAGAAAGCACCAAAGAAAGGAATCTTAAAGAATTCTACCAGCTTTGACAAAAATGAAAGGAAGTCGTAAGTTTTTGTTACTTTGCTCTTTGCCCTCTGCCTGTAAGTGAAAGGCTGAGTTGAGTGAATGTGATAAATAGATGGAAAGTTGAGCTTTGGTGTCTCCTAGTGTACATGGTCATGTGGTGACAGGGAGAGGGGGAGGTTGTAATGGCTGAGTGGTTAGTGACAGGGAGAGGGGGAGGTTGTAATGGCTGAGTGGTTAGTGACAGGGAAAGGGGGGAGGTCATAATGGCTGAGTGGTTAGTGGCAGGGAAAGGGGGAGGTCACAATGACTGAGTGGTTAGTGACAAGGAGAGGGGGGGGGGGTTGTAATGGCTGAGTGGCTGGTGACAGGGAGGGGGGAGGTTGTAATGGCTGAGTGGTTAGTGACAGGGAGAGGGGGGAGGTCATAATGGCTGAGAGGTTAGTGGCAGGGAAAGGGGGAGGTCACAATGACTGAGTGGTTAGTGACAAGGAGAGGGGGGGGGGGGTTGTAATGGGTGAGTGGCTGGTGACAGGGAGGGGGGAGGTTGTAATGGGTGGGTGGCTAGTGCCCTGGACAATTAATGGTTACACCATGGTGTAATTTGTGACGTTTCCTTTTATGAACAGGATGGGGAGTAAAGCCAATAGTGACTGCAGCCACATGACAGCTGATTCCTGACTCCACTTACCGCAGTTTTTTGTGGTGATAATCACCTGTTGTTCCTCTTTCAGACATTGATGTAGATCTTGTGGGCACATTTTGGCAGTGTGGGCATTGTACCCACTGCACCACCTGACAGTGGCACTGCCTATACACCATATTACTCCATTCTCCATGCATACTGTCTGCGTTGAGCCCGACAGTCTGGCTTGTGAAGCTGACAGACTGCACTGCTGTGTTTAATAATATGACATATTGTATGTTGGCACTGAAACACTCCGGGCTGGCCATGGTCGCGTGTGACCTTCAAACAAGTTCAGTGACGCGTATCTGAACATCGCTTCGGAGTGCTGACGTTTGCATCGACTGCCGACACCGCAGTGCCGTTCAGTGTTGCTCCTGTCAGAGATTGCTGTCTAGCACGCGAAGGCCTGCATTACCATAAGTCCGGGCCGGCTCCGTGTAGGACATGAGGCGGCGCGACACTGGTGCTGGCGCCGGGCGGCGGGGTACAAGAGGGTGTACAGACCAGAGCTCGGCTCAGTGGGACCTACCTACCACTACAAACGCAGTGCCCCTGCTCATGGCAGTCGTATTCCCTGGCCAATTCTGATTGGGGAGACAGTTTGTCCAAATAGCCAGGATGTTGAGGTAAGATGTATCACTGTTTTGTGACTTGTCTGTTGATTTCTGTGAACTAGGGCTGCCGATAGTGTAGCGGTGAGCGCGTCTGCGTCAACCACTGTGCGTCTGGGACGCCAGAGGTACGGGGTGCGATTGCTCGCGGCGCCCGACCTTCCGTAAAGCCCTGATGTGTCGTAAAGCCCCAATGACGACGACTAGCTTTGTGGAGTGAAAGCAGCGGACCGGCTGCCGGCCGGCCACGGATCGGCTGCCCTGTTATGGCGGCGCCAGGGTCTGCGGCTTTGATTGATGTCCCGGCCATATTGCCGCGCCAATCGCCGGCAGACCTGCAGACCTTTCCAGTGAAGTGGCTATCAAGCAGGATCAGTCCGGAGCCCCCCCCCCCCCCCCCCCCCCTACGTCCCTTCCAGAGCGTTTTGGGCGCCTGTGGCTGGTGGGCGACTAGTCACGAGGTACCGGGAATCTCACCATTATGGGAAGGTCTGGTAGTTTTGCACCAGCTCCGGTTACATTCGCAATGTCCGGTTGGCAAATCGTTATCCTCACGGTTGCTTCGCGTGTCGTCGGCCGCTCCATGACATTGAACTCGACATGATGGCACTGGCATAGCCGCACTACTATGGGCAGATGGCTGGAGGGTATCAGCGACGCGTCCCAGCGTCCTGTCGTATGCGCACACGCTGGCATTTGTACGTCGTCTTTTGGCGAGTTGTGTCGAGTCTGGTCAGTGCTGAGGACGAGCCGGACACGAGCGGGCGGTGGGCCGGGCCGTTGGCCTTCCCTCGCCGGCCACTGTGTCGGATACGGCCGCTCGGCCGCCGCCGGGTCGGGAGGCGGCGCGTGGCGCCCCCCCCCCCCCCCTTGGCGACTGGTAGTGGCCGGGACGCGGCGCGTGCCCCCCCCCCCCCTCCCCCTGGCGCCTGGTAGTGGCCGGGACGCCGGGTCGGGACGCGGCGCGTGGCGGCCCCTCTGGCGCCTGGTTGTGGCCGGGCCGCCAGGCCGGGACGGCTCCGGACTCTCCGCTCACGTTCTCCGTAGTGGTGACGTCACCTGATGATGCTGCTGTGAGTCGT